CTCCCCGTGGGCCGACGCCAGACGTAACGAGCGAGCCGCCCGGCGCCCGGGCTGCTCCGCTGCCGCTGACCGTCGTCCTCTGGCCGTTGCAGACCTGTTCCTCGGACCCATGTGCGACTACGTGATCGCGGCGGTGGCGCGGTACGCGGCCATCTGGGGCGTGCCTGTGGTCACGCCCAGCGCCCAGGCCAACGCCTTCCTCGATAAGCAGGGCCAGTTCCGCACGCTCACGCGCATCATGGGCTCCTACCACCAGCTAGGCGCCGTGTTCCAGCCCGTTATGCAGCTGTTCGACTGGCGTGTGGCAGGTCTGCTGTACGAGGAGTTCGACACGACCGAGCACAAAGGCCACCACTCGTGCAACTTTATGATGAAAGCTGTCTATGAGGGCATGAAGGTCAAGCCCACCTACAGAAAGTTTCTGAGCAGTAGTCCACGGCTGGACTTTGCCTCGCTGCTGCGGGAAATGGCCAAGTCGGCCAGAAGTAAGTATTCCACGGAATCCGGGCTATCACATTGCGGGAGAGTATCATGAAGTTCGTCGCTGGGCTAAGTGGAAGCAAAACTATGAACCAGGGTGGCACCACTCGAAAGTCCCAGCAATTTTCTAATGAAACGTCCCACCTATGATGTCAAATGGAGCAAATGGACCATAAACATATAGACACCACGCTTTCCTCACGACTGTCACCCGTTGAAAAATCCTGTCGGCTTTCGAAAGTTTCGCAGAAATAGGCTGCGCTGCTGAGAAGAGCGGATGGACGCAAAGGCAGGGCAATGGCGCCGGTTAATGCTTCACGGTTCGACCGGACCAAATTATTCCAGCGTCACGCCCACCTGATCTGCGCCAGTGATTGGTTTCGCCTGTCATCCTGTAATGGCACTATAGCGTTGCACAATGGAGTCAGTCTGAGTGCGCTATCTTGCCTTGCTCTGGCCGTAAACCACCTTTTTCAATATTCTGCAACATTTTTGCGACAATTGTGGTAGGATAAATACGATGGTAATAACACGAAGAGCCCCTTAAAAGCAATAAAGAAAGAATGCAAAATTGCAAAGGGTTGCACATATTACAGGCAGTGCACCCCGTTGCAATGTTACGCCGTTGCAGCAGCCATCCGCAGCCGTTACCGTTATCCGTCGTCGTTATCATATAACTCGTTAATCCATCCCCGATCACCGTCACCCGTTACTTCACTGTGATCGGAACCTCCGGTAATGGGTGTCGTTATGAAGCCCCAGAAATGACCGGCAGCAGGCAAAGACGGGATGTTCTGTGGTTTCCGAATAATGAAACGGTCGTCACATTTTCCTTCAATGCCAGTCATCTTGGCACAGCCCCTAGACGCTAGCATGCTTTACTTTCCAGCCGCCCATCGGTAGTGCCAGTGATGGTGCACCATAGTCAGTTATTTGCGTGCAATTTATGGAAGTCGCAAAAAAATCAAATTAGATCGGCGCTTATTCGAGGGCTTCCGGACCGCCCTTCAAATGGTGATTAGATCTCGTTTCGCGCTTGGAAGTACCGGCGTCCAATTCCCGATGCCGGCGTTGTTAACCGGCCTGAGCACAACAAAGATTGGTTCGACGCAGCCCGACTAGCGGGCCGATGGATGGTGCGATCAAGCGTCTGCACTCGGAGGGAAAGCCTAGAGCCTGGCAGGTTGCCTTGCCCCCCCCCCCCCCCCCCCCCTCCTCCCCGCACGTCACGCCCGTGAGCGGACTGCGTGAGAAGTATGAGCGCCACAGCTGGGAGGCTGAACCCAGTATTAAAGAGTGTGTGGTCGTAACTGAGGCGGCGCATTAAAAGAAAGGACAGAGAGTATCCCCAAAACAGCACGAGTCTATAATGCAAAGTGTTGGAGGTAAATACAGAGCTTATGAATGACGTATTTCAACTTATTCTCAATCGCCAGCTTGAGCTTATCCATATTTAGAAGACCGCGCACGTTGCAAGTGCAAGTCTCTGACAAGTTGTGCAAGTCTCTGACTGAAAAACCAAACGAGGCTTAGGACGAAACTTAGACTCTAGAAACTAAGCTGCAGACAAGCATCCATGGTCTCTTCAGATAATTTACCTTGTCATTGCATAATGCTCTGTTTTCACATCGTTGTCATCTATGATAAAGATGTGAGCGAAAATTAACCGTAACGAAACGAAGATTGGTCTGGGTGAATGGACGCAGCCGCCGGTGGAGAATGCGGCCAATGGGCCCCTGATTTTGGAATGCATGCTTACTTCATGGAGGGACCAACCTCTGCACACCAGTTGTTGTGGTCCTTATTTCCGATTACTGACGTTAGCGTTCTACGCAGACATCACGTAGTTACGTTCGAAACTGAGGCGGTCTTGAGGGCCATCCTGTGCTCGAACCTGTCGGACGCCAGATAACGTGGTACACGAGAGTGAGTGCTCTACCTCACTAATCGCCATCTGTATCCCATTTAAGATGGCTAAAGGGAGTACTCCACCTTTTTGTACTTGCCACTTATTGTTACATCAGACGCATGCTATTCCATCTGCAATACCCATTTTCTCGAAATCCTTCTGAACACCTATGAATTCTGCTTCTAAGTAGCCACACTGCGGAATAAGTATCATTTAACTCTCTGCTCACCACTATGAAAGTAAAACATTTCCTTTGGCTTGTTTTTTCCACCGTGTGTTCTGCAATGTTTGCAACACACTAATGTGTCAAAATATTTGTGGACTAAATGCCACGAAAGCGTGAAACCCTTTGTTTAAACAAAAATATGCACAAACACGAAGCTGTTATCCTTCCTGCGAATTCAGCGAACCGTTATACTACGGCTTTATGTGACGCGCTAGTTCAATCTTAAACCTGTGCGCTTCTCAGTTACAGGTTGCCCGCTGGACCAATCATAAACGTTCTTTTATTCGCACCAATGGAGGTGCGCACGGTGGTTGTCATGACGACGATTGTCTCGACTGCAGGGAAGAAATGTAATGCTATTACAAAGCGTTGGCAGCGTAATTTGTAATCGACAATGATTGAAATTGAAATCCCGATCACGTCTGGACGGTGCTTCAGTGCCACCGCCCAGCGATATTATTAGACGAACTAGTCCTGAGGTTTCACTAAGTATGTTCTTGAGATACGCCCCAAAATGTGGGAAACCCCCTCTAAGTTAATAATGTACCAGTGCTTCATGCAGTGTTCAGGTTTGAAGGATGTTATGTAACCGGGTGTCGAACTCAGTACACCAATCGGGACGCGAATAACTGAACGACCTCATCGAGCGTTTAAGCCCCAGGATTGCGTGGCCCGCGCGTGGTCAATGCCCTCTGTCCTTTTCTCCGAACGGAGCTGCGGCAGCGCACGCAGCTCTCGCTTAAAACGCAGGCGGGCCAAAGGGCCTTCTCGTGTTTAGGTCACCTTGGCAGTTGTGGATGCGCTTCTTGTTTTTAATGACGGTGGCCGTCCACATGTCCATAGCAGAGCCGCACCAGCTGATGCAGCTGATGCCGCCTTTGCAAGCATCAGCCATATCTGATGTTTGCAAAGATGACTACAAATTTTACATCCCGAGTGTATCTATTTTGATATTATTGCAGTGCAGTGTTTTTCAAACAATAGTTGCTTTCCCTTTTGTCTCACACGCTTTGATTTTCTTTGGCATATGGGCGTCTGGAAATACTGGTGGTTGAGGGACATGGCTGTGTTGAAAATGGCAACGTATATATTTCGGTTGGCTGCTTGTGAGTGAGCAGTATATGTGTGTACAGTTCGTTACGTTTCAAGCTCCATACGCGTTTCCTCGGCGATGCCCATGATAGCCGTCACGTGATGTTATGTTGGAACTCGTGCAAGTTTTACATGGCCATCATTTTGCCACCGAACTGTGCTGTTCATAATGAAAGCTTGATTTACATAAAATAACCTTGAAAGTTTACTTACCGTATGGATGTCAGGGCTTTCAAAAGATACTGGGATGATTTCTCTATGCATTTTTCCTTACTACCCTCATGTTCAGTATGCAAGTCAGAGAACCCAAATGTAGCAATGAAATTGGCACTGATTTCATCTCAACCGAATGCCCATATATTGGCCTCGTTGAACGCGCTAGATGTTGAGCGAGCTTAGAATCGGCAGACGAATGAGCGGAAACATGCCATGTCGTGCACGTGATACCACAGCACCCCTGCTGTGTTTCAGTCATCATTCTGTGCGCCTCACCTCACCGTGTGCGCGAGATCCTGCTGGTGGCCGACGATCTGAACATGGTCAGCAGCGGCGAGTACGTGTTCTTCAACGTCGAGCTGTCCACCAGGTGAGCCCTGAAAGCCGTGCTTGACAGTCCTCTTCTCGGTGACCGCCATCATAGGCGACTGCAGGCACAGGCGAGGGTGGCGCGGGGTCGCTGTCGCCGACGCTGGTTTGGCGATACCGATCGTTGGTCGTCTGCAGGTCTGAACTGCTCTGAATCCGGCGGAATCAAAAAAGTTTGGGAATCGATCTTTTACGAGAGACTGATTTGTGAGATCATTGCCACGTGAGCTAGAAGGACCTGAGCTTCGCGACACGCCGTTATGACCTTATGGCACACGTGAGGGAAAGGGCCCTAAAGCCAGACATCATAGATTGTCGGTTACTTTAATTACGTAACATCTACCCGATCGAGGGTGACCCGGACTTCTTTTTGCAATGCATGCCTTGAACAGTTTTCGACAAATGCTACACATGTATTTCATCCCTACCATTTATTTTGGAATTAAACGAGGAATGGAGGATGGGGTATAAACGACGCGTAGCCAATGACAGGTTAATGCTACGCAGAATGATCTAGTCAGGAGCTTAGCTTAAAGCGGGCATTTGCTCCCCGCATACTCTACTACAAAACCGTCTTGACAACTGTCTATCCTCCCTTTTGCATCCCCTGGAATAAATGGACCGATTTATGCAGTGAAGATTGTAAACCGTGCGCTGGTTTATCATCCCCAATTTTTTTGTCGACCTGCACTGGTTACGTCGGAATCGGTGGACACGCCTGATGACTGTGTCTGATAAACAACACCCTAATATTTTCAAGTTTTGCCCACTTGTGGCTCTCTGTGAGAAATTCTCGGGAGTTTCTTGGTCATAAATTAAATCATGCCAAGAGAATACAACGCCATTCGGTTTTCCATCATTTGTCCTCTAGTTGGTTTGATCTCAGGGGGGGGGGAGGATCTCAGGGGGGGGGGGATCTCAGAGTGGAATCAACACCCCCGCCTTTTTGGAATGAAGCCCATCAAGGAGTTTTGACGAGGAGTTCATGAATAGAGTCAGAGGATGGTTAAGCATAAACTCTGCTCCTGGCCTGGCGTGACCTCCGTGTTGCCCAACTGACCCTGAGACTGACAACTGACCGCGAAATTAGCGACCGGCCCTGGCACTGACGTTTCGCACCCTGAGAATGCCGACTGATCTTGAGACTGACGACTGACCCTGAGGCAGACGACGGACCCTGAAGCTGGCGACTGACCCTGAAACTGAAGACAGACCCTGATACCGACGACTCACCCAGAAAGTGACGACTGACCCGGAAACCGAAGAGGGACTCTGATACCAACGACTGACCATGAAACTGATGACTGATGTTGAAACTGACGACTGAGTCTGACTGATTCTGAGGCTGACGTTTAAACACTTGCTAAATCACAGCAATGCTACCAAGCAACTTTAAAAGCGGGAGGGAATTTCGAAAACAATTTATAGAGATGCACTTGTTCAATCTAACACTGAAATGACGCGTTCGTGGCCTCGTCCATGATAGCCATATTTTGCTGCCAAAATTTCTGGTAACTTATTTACTGCAAGATTATCAATCTCGGCAGCCCTCAAAAGTTCAAAAGTTTGCACGAAATTCGTCGGGATCCAGTTGCATTTCAGAGAGCCGTAGGCTCGCATTCTGCCGCTCTCTGAGAAGCTCTTCATTGTATCCCCGAGCACTTGTCATGCTCAAGACTGGTTGAACCAGTAATGTGAGGCGGCAGTCGGCTCCGGTGGCGGGTGTAAGCGACGGTCTTGTCGGTAGATCTGTCGAATGAGGTGGAATTCGACCCACGGCTGTCTCTGATCCTCCTGACAGGGAGTGCTTTACATTTGTATGGGGATTTGAACTGAAAGAGCCTTCTTGAAGAGTATTCGGTGAAGTTCGCAGCACTGCCCTTTTTATGACCTATGCCGCTGTAGTTGATGAGGTACACGTCCGCAAAGATGTGCAGACTATTTGGGGGGGGGACTATTTCAAGGTCAGTCAGGCGTCCATGACGACATTATAACGTCATTTGAATCCTTTCATTTCATTAGCCATACGACGGTCAATGATTGATCGCCATGAAGAACTTGATTGTCCAGTCATTCATATATGGCGTTTGTGATCACGATTCCTGGATAGAACGGCCGTCAATTGGCTCTAAATCATTGCTATGCAAGGAACGATGACGTAATCAAAACAATGACCTATTGATGAGCATATTAAGTTAACAGAGAAATTGTGTTGTCCAAAGTAGCCTTGTCCACTTGGAAGTGTACCAATAGCTATAAGTGAGCTATCTCATCACATCTGATGCTTAAAAGTCGTCAGATACTGAACATTCCCCTTAACAAAATTATACAGAATATAACAGCTCTTGTTTGAGTTCCTGCCCAGCTCCGCTCGGACATATAGGACGACCTAAGGACTTTTCCACACACGTTATGAGTCGGGCAGCATATGACCTCTGGACAGCTCGAGTGCGCTCACATCAACAGCTCCAGATCACTCACCATGCCGTCCATTGGCCGGCCGCTGGCCTGAATAACAAGCCGGGCGATCGGCGAGACCGCCCGACGGGTCACCGTGCCGCCGTCCGGCTGACGGTCGCCTGTTATTCCTGAGGCCGACCGACGCCCAATAAAAACAGCCGGCTCACCGCCACTGATTGAAGGTCGGTGACCGGCCCTACGCGGCCTGAGGGCGGGCTGGCCGGCGGAGGCCGGGGCGCGACGCGACGCCGCCGCCGCCGCCGCCGCCGAAGGAGTGGGCCGGCGCTCCGGTGGTGTAGGCCCGACAGGGCCCATGGGGCCGGCTGGAAGCCAGCATGCCGCCGCTGATGCGTTGAAACGGAGTCATTTCCGCGAGCGGGAGTCGCGACCGTGGCTGTTAGCTGACTGTGACATCTGGTACCCGAGCAGCCGGAATGAGATCCCAGGCCACGCCCTCCCAATACGGGCACAATCCAAAAATAAACACAGGCCACGCCTTCCCAGTACGGGCACAATCCAAAAATAAAGAGCCAGGTAAACATTCGTGGCCGAAGAAAGATCCGATCAGGCAAACACTTTTGGATCTAGAACATTTTGTGGGCGAATCCCCAATCCTGCTTGTAACTTGAAAAAGGGTATAAATCTTTGAACGACCTGCAAAAAAGATGCATTGTACATTGCACAATTGGTTCTGTCTTACCCATTGCCAAAATTTTACCAAAATTGACGTTAAGTGAAGAAGTAGAAATGTCTTCACTTTACATCCACAGCTACGACCTACACACCAGATCCAACACGCGCACGCGCACATTCATCTAATTTCAGTTTGACGCAGGCGGCTCTGTTGATAATCCCATAACCCCGTCAGTTATTAGCTGCGCCCATCAAAATTGTCATTGTCCCAGTTTCGCCTTCAAATAACACCCCTCTCCCCTCGCGCACACTCTCTCCGCCTCTCCCTGAAAGACCACCATATTGATCCCGACGTCCGCCTTCGGCGCCGTCCTCATGTGTTCAATACTGTCGAGACCCGGCCAACCTCGGACGTTGTGAGTCTTCAACCGACACGTTTGAATGCAGCTTTGCGCGGAGCCGCATTGTGCAGGCAGCGGCGTCAGGGTTAGTTAACTTGTTGGCGGAGTTATGTCCGTGGTCGTGCCCTTAGATCGTCGCACGTCAAGAGCAGTGAAAAGCAGACGTCCACTTCAGCGTCCCTGTGACGTCATTGGTCGTGGCCTTGGATTGAGTACTGCGGCAGTTGCCTTTGTGACGCCGCTTGTATGTCAGCAACGGGCATTTTAACACGCGCCCGGGCGGCCGGCTAGATGCCCTTCGCCCAGGTGGGGGTCAGTATGATCCCCCTGAGACTGCGGGAACTGAAAGAGCTAGAGACACCACATTTACAGGGTGTCTTGACCTGTACGTGAACTCACTTAGGTCAAAGTTTCAGCTTCTTAGATCATGACCTTCAGGTCAAATGAGGTCAAACAAGGTCAAATTTCAGGTTGGTCTCTAGAGTGCTCCCAGAACATAGGCAAGTGCTCCTAAGCCAAGTCAAGCAAAACGCCACAAACCCCTTTGAGGTCAGTGACCTTGTTTGATCCTTTGAAGGTCATAGTGACCAAAATCATACAAGACTGCTCTGGGTTTTGCATTCGAATAAGCGGTAAAGATTACGCTAGGCAGTATGTTCTTAAAACAAAATGTCCATATGTGTCATCTTAGGTCAGTCACCTGTTCTGTCATCTAAGAAGTCAACAGAAGATGTGTAGTGCGTTTCCTGCTGTCAATAAATTCAAAATGAGCACCACAAACTATCCCATACAGCCAGCCCTAAAGTAATAAATCAGGTTGGTTTTGACCTTGTCTCATCCTCATACCTGACCTTAGGTCAATTTGATTTGCTCATTCAATATTTGTGTTGCCTAAGAAAGCATCCCAGAGGTGTATGGCTTCGTCAAACTCTCCATTATTGTGTCAGATTGAACGATTCCCTAGAAATTGACTTCGCTGAAATGACATGGCTTGACTTTGACCTGCCACAGGTCAGCGACCTTAAAATAAATATCTAGCCTTTCTCATGCTAACAGTCCGCTATTTAATTTTCTATAGCCGTCCCAAATTTGGCGCGGCTACGACGCGCCGTTCGTAAACCATTCTGGAAAAACCTTCGGGGGGTCAATTTGACCCGTCCCCACCCGAGCGCGTGTTAACAAGCACGCGGGTGGCCGGCTAGATACCCTTCGCTCGGGTGGGGGAGGGGGTGGTGGTCAATTTGCCCCCCCCCCCTGAGATCTCAGGAACTATGAAAGCTAGAGACACCAAATTCACCGAGCGTGTCGACCTGTACGTGAACTCACTTAGGTCAAAGTTTGAGGTTCCTAGGTCATGACCTTCGGGTCAAATAAGGCCCAACAAGGTCAAATTCCGGTTGGCCCCTAAAGTGCCTCCAGAACCTAGATAACTGCTCCCAAGCAAAAGGTCACATGCTTATGTAAGGCCAGTGAAATTGTTTGACCTTTGGGAGGTCATGGTGACCCAAATG